CGGGCGGGCTGGCCGAGCGCGATTACAAACAGTCGTTCCGTCGCTCCGTCTGTCTCTCTCGCACCACCACGGGGCGCCACCCGAGTGCGAGAGAGACAGACGGAGCGACGGCAAGACTCTTCGGAGTGGGCCTGCTGGCTGAAAGGGTGGCGACGACGCGTCAGCGCGAAAACGGACAGAGAAGAAGACAGCGCGAAAACGGACTAGACGGAGAGACCGAGAGAGTACAGTGGGCCAGAAGACCGGCGCAGGCGGCCAAAACTCTAGACGCGTTTTGAGCTCCAGAGTCTCTAAATGGGACTCGAACGAAGCGTGTGACCCCACCAATGGATTCCTCGTTCGGAGAGCAATCCATTGGTGGGGTCACACGTTCAATTCGAGTCCCATTTAGCGACTCTGGAGCTCAAAACGCGTCTAGAGTTTTGGCCGCCTGCGCCGGTCTTCTGGCCCACTGTGGAGAGACGGAGACACGCCCTCCTCGCGTTAGAGTCACACGACAACGCGTCTCGGCATCGTGTCACCATCACAATTTCATCAAGTATTTTTTTTTTAGGCCGCGTGGAGCGTCGTAGGGAGCAAAAAGAAGAGGGGCCATAAAAAAATTGTCGGTGTATTTTCTTTTCATCCTTCCGTCCCCTGGCCTCACTCACATGACGTCACATGACCTCTGCCACGGGGATCGCCGTCGCGGAGGTATCTTTTAAGTGCCGCTATGAATAGTACACTTTTGATGCCGCCGCCGCACCGAGTGGCGCACGGACGCGGCGCACGCCCCCGTTACCCTCATGCACCTCGCACTCCTCGCACTCCTCGCGGTGCTGATGAATGGCGCGCCGCCCCCACCCCTTTCACTTGAAATATGAGTAAACTTTAACAAGTGCCGGATCCTTGTTTTACAAAGTGCATTAGCATTCTCCGAGTGCCTCTAATAACCTCTTCATATTAGTCGCTGCGCGCCGCTCTGCGCCCCGCCACCACCCCGCGGACCGGGAAGGGGGCGTGTTGGGGCGCGGCGGCGGTCGCCGGCGAGGCCAGTCTGGGCCACCTCGGGGCACGTTTTGGGCTCGAAGCTCCCCCGACCCGAACTGAGCCGCAATGAGTGCCGAGTGCCCCTGCGAGGTAGGCCGCCGTCCGACAGGCGTGTGTGCCGGTGGCCTGAACGCCGCTTGGCAGGCGCCGAGCCGAGCCAAGCAGCACATTTCGATTCGACCTCTCTCTTCCTCACACGAGAGTTGAATGAAACACATGAGGGCGCCGAGGGATCGCCCGTCGAACGAGGAAGAGAGAAAGAGAGAGCGAGCGGCTGCTCTTCGGGATCGCTCGGCTGAAGCCGGGCTTGGATTTCCCGGTATTCATTAGTCGCGATCCCACATCGACAGCAGAAAAGAGCAGCCGGGGGAAAAGGGGGGGGGGGCAAAACAAAAGAGAGTTGACGGGGCGGCCGCTTCCATCATCGCTCTCCTCCCTCTCCCTGCTCGTCCTGCTCGTCCTCCCGGCCCCGTACGTCGGCAATGCCACCGGGGCAGCGCCGCAGCGGCCGCGGCAGTGGCGTAGCAGGCGTAGGAACGGCGGCACCGGACGCTCCCAGTCGGAGGGGACGCAGTAAGGCGGCCCGGGAAAAAGCAAACCCACTGCAGCCTTGACTGCACTCGACTACGCCGGCTTCTCGTCTGCTTAGCGACGCCGCTGCAGCACTGCAGCACACCCGGAGGCGAGGACGCCGCCGTCTGGGGGAGGCCGAGGCCGAAACGAGATCGCATCACCGTCGCCGGCTTGCCATGCGCGACGGCGTCGTCTGACGAGGCGTCCGCGTCGCTGGGCTCGGCCTGGGACGCTGCTGCTGCCTGCACGGCGCATATCGATAAAATTACGAATCCGTGCGTGGCGCGGCAGAGTGAATTGTTGACGGCATGCCTCGGGGCGCGGAAGGGGAAGGGGGAGAGTGAGCGGCTTTGAAGGCGGCCGACCGGAGAGGCGCTGGGTTCGAGCCCGGGTGGCGGCGGCTGACATTTTCGCACCGGTTGCCCTGTCTACCCGCGTAGCCGAGCGCAGCCAGCCAGCATGCTCTGAGTGCTACTCGCAGCCACATCCGCCAGGGCAGCGCCAGGGCAGCGCCAGGGCAGCGGCAGCCCGGGGCCAAGGGGTTGGTACAGTGCCTGCGTCAAAACGGCACCGGCCGTCTGCTAGTGGCGGCCGGGAGGCTTCCAACGCGCGACGGAAGGGAGAGAGACAGAGGGCACGGGGAGAGTGGCGGGCCTGGCAGGGCTGGCGACAACGGCGCCAGTGGGGCGGGGGCGGGCACGGCACGCGACAATCCGTTAAGGTGAACTGTTGTTTTACTCGCAAAAGGATAAACTGCGCGCTTTGCGAGTCAATGAGGGTATTAGGAGCGAAGTGGTGGTGCGCTCCGCCCCGCCCCGCCCCGGCGGCCTGCGCTGCGGTCGGCACGCCGTGTGACCGGGGCAGGGGGACGGGGGGACCGGGGGGTGGGTGGGTGGGGGGGGGGGTGATTGCATCAAAGCGCTTCCGTCCCCTGGACAATAGAGGACGGAGGATAGGAGGGTGGGGCACCAGAGTCACGACTTTCGGAAACTTAATTTAGTTTCCAAGTTTTCAATTTGTAGGAGTCATTTTTGTTCTGACGGCGTCGAGCAGAGCGCGAAGACTAGTCGCGGGCCGAGACTTGGCCTTCTCGCGGTGCGCCAAGCGAAACCATTACCGTTTCGGGCATTTCGAAAAACGACCACATTGCCAGCAGAGCGCAGCAGAGCGGCCGGGGATGCCTGGCGGAGAGAGAAAGAGAGAGGCCCGAATATAGAGAGGAGACGAGGAAAGAGAAAAATAAAAAAAAATCCAAGGGCGGAAACGAAGGCGGAGCTGAGGGTGTGGCGGTGGGCGGATTGGGCTTAGGGACAAGGAATAAAAAATTAGAGGGGATTTCGGGGACAAAAGGAGGAGAGAGAGAGAGAGAAAAGAGTGAGGAAAGAGGGAGGAGGGCACGAGTGAGGGATCATAGATTTTGCGTAGTCATCCCTTTATGGCCCTCCACTGCGCCTCCGAGGCTCCCAGGCTCCGAGGGGCGACGGGGCGACGGGGCGACGTCCTCTCAGCCCTGCCTTTCAGGCTTTCAGCCCAGCAAGGCGGCAAGGCCCGGCCCAGCCCTGCCCCATCACTTGAGCCGTGTGCCCGTGCATTCCGAAAAGTCCAACACTAAATTACGGGAGAGGCCCGCCGCGAGGCTACATTTGAGAGGAGCCCACTGCAAGGTCCGTCATTGGGTGGCTGAGAGGGACCGCGGCTCTAGTGCTCGTTGCGTGTATCAGCCTAGCGCCGTTTCACCGAAATACCGTTTCAAATTCACAAACTGCGTCACCTTTTCTTTAATCTGACCATCGGACGCAAAGGATTGCAGATTAACTGATGGCCTGCTGTGCTTTCCACTCTCTTTTAAACTCAACGCCCTAGCTAAATTATTCAAAATTCGAAAACGGGTCTCGCAGTTTATCATCGATCCCCTGGGCGCATCAAAAAGTCACGAACGTTTTCCAAAATTAATTCACCTTTCCTTCCCTTCGGCTCTTTGACGGGGCGCGGAGAAAAGGGGTCGGCGGGCACGTCGTCGGGGAGACCGTAAAGTTTGCCCTCTTCGGTTCGATCCGGGACGCGGTCCGGGACGCGGTCCGGGACCAGGCCGAGGCCACCAAGGCCGTGAGGCTGAGGCCGGTCGTTCCGCGCAACGAAACAAAAGGCCGTGCATACAGAATGGCTGGCGAGGCGAGGCGAGGCCAGGCCTCCGCGACGCACCCAGGGAGCAAGCAGCCATTCTGTGCGGCTGCGCCCTGCGACGCCCTGCAGGCCTATTCCGAAGAGTCGTTTCGTCCGTCTCTCTCGCACTCCCGGGGCGTCCCGGCGTCCCGCAGGGGGCAGGGGCGCGGTGCGAGGGAGACAGAGCGGCGGAACGACCTTTCGGCATCGCTCGACTGCGCCAGCATTACGTCCTGCCTTCCACCTTCCGTCCTCGCCTCGCGCTGCCCTTCCTGCCGGAGGCCCGCCTGTCTGTCCGTCTGTCTGTCTGCCTGTCTGTCTGTCCGTCCGTCCGGCTGCCACTCGGCGCTGCGGCCGGCGTTGCTGAAAACAATCAAGTCGGCGTTCCGGCAAAACGGTTATGATTATAAGCGCGGCGCGCCCTCCGCACCGGCGTGGCGCGCCGCGCTCAGCGTTTGCATCGCTACACGAGCAATATCGCTGCAGCGCGGCCGGAGGGCCGGAGGGCCGAGGGCGAAATGAAACGGCTCGCCGAGGAAGAGGCGTCGCCGCGGCCACTGGAAAAACGGGAAAGCTCGCAAAAACTTGCCCCGGGGGGGGGGGGGGGGACGTCCACCCGGGCAGGAAGAGCGACCTCACTGTGACGTGACGACGCCGTGAACCTGAGCCTCCCTTTTCCCACGCCGCCCCGCCCCGTCCCGCCCCGCCGAACAAACAAGACTCGGAACGGAACGATTTGGCTGCACGGATTACTGCGCATTCCGCGCGCTGCGCCGCTACATCTACATCCTGCCGCGCTGTGCCACATCGCCACACCGCCACACCACTACATCGCACGGCGCTAATCTGCACGCGCAGCTGGCGGGGCGGCGGCCCGTCACCCAAGCCAATTCGCACGTTGATTGAGTTAGCCGCGCGGCCGCGTGCGTGGGTTCGAACACCGCCAAACTCGTAATCTTTTTTTTCTCTCCGCCGGTGTACTGCACAGTGGGCCAGAAGACCGGCGGAGGGGGCCAAAACTCTAGACGCGTTTAGAGCTCCAGAGTCGCCAACAGGACTCGAACCGAGCGTGTGACCCCACCAATGGATTCCTCGTTCGGAGAGCAATCCATTGGTGGGGTCACACGCTCGGTTCGAGTCTCACTTAGCGACTCTGGAGCTCAAAACGCGTCCGGGATTTTGACCGCACCCACCGGTCTTCTGGCCCACTGTGAGCAGGCTGGCCGCTGGCCTACCTGTTGTCCGTGCAGGAAGTGCCTGCCGCCGATGGCGCAGGGCGCGGGGTTCTCGGAGGGCGTGCCGGCGGGCGTGAGGTGCACGCGGTTGCCGGTGCGCGCGTACGACTCGGTGGCGGGCCGCGCCACGCCGGCCTTCACCTTGCCGCCCGCCTTGACGCTGCTGCTGTACACGCGCTCCAGGCGCGCCGTCGTCGGCCGGCCCAGCACGGGGCCCTGGGGCTGCGCCTGGTCCTGGCCCTGGCCCTGGCCCTGGCCCTGCGTCCGGCCGTCCAGCAGGGACGTCTCCAGCCCGCCCACGATGGCGGACGTCGGCGCTGCAACAGAACACAACGTCACAAAGTGCTGCAGGCTGATGTCGCTCGGTCTCTCTCGCACCCCTACGGGACGCCCCATGAGTGCGAGAGAGACAGGGGAGCCGGGATCTGCCAGGCTGACCGTCGTGCGGGGTCATCCCGGACGACGCCCCGGCCAAGGCCCCGGCCGCCTCGCCGCCGGTAACTGACACTCCTCCTCCTCGCCTCAAAGCAGGCCGGGGAGCCGGCCGGGGGAGGCTGCTGCTGCTATAGCTTGTTAGAGCTCGCGACGAGGGGTGGGGGTGGCGGCGGCGGGGGGCACTTTGGCGACTTTGGGGCCGGGGCGCTGCGGGGGGTGGCGGGGGCGGCGGGGGCAGGGCGCTCACTTCCGGTGACAGGACGTGGAAGTGCCGGACACCTCGGCCTTCCGGTCCAGCCAGCCCGAGGGCCGAGACCGAGGGCCGAGGCACGTCGCCGTCGTCCAGAGAAAGTGCGGAAAAGGGGGCGGGTTTAATCATCGGCAACGAGCGGTGTGCCTGGCCTGCCTGGCCTGCCTGCCCTGCTTGGCCTCAAACAGCGGGCGCTGCCGCCCCGCCGGCCCACTGGCCCCGTTACCGCCTGCAGTGCGCCCCAGCCCTGCGCCCCAGCCCTGCGCCCCAGCCCTGCGCAATGTGATGCGCAACAGCATAGGGCGGCCAGGGGCAGGCCGGCAGGGCGGCAGGGCGGCAGGGCGGCAGGGTAGACGGACAGACCCAAGCGGCGCCCTTTTCTTCGCTCTCGGTTTCCAAGTCGGGCTTTTCAGGCGATTGCAGTCAGGCGGAAGTCCCGCTTCTACCACCGCCCACTTGACCTGAGGGCGCACACGCACACACTAGCAATCACTCTCAGACACACACACGCACACACTCGCAATCACACACACACACACACACACACACACAGAGAGAGAGAGGCCAATCTCCACGGGCGCGCGGAAGCAGGCCACCAAGTAGACCGCCTTGAAGAGCCCCTCCGGCTGCAGTTGACGCGCGCGGCAAGGCGGCAAGCACGGCGGCACGGCAGGCGGCGGGGCAGGCGCATCATCCACTCGTTCACTTTGAATGCTGCAGGCTGCAGCGCGGCAAAGATCGCGCGCATCGCGCACCGCGCGCGGGGCGAGGACGACGACGGGGGGAATCACTCGCTTTTCCACGCCGGCGCGCCCGGGGGGCCTGGCGGGGCCTGGCGGGCGGCAACAAGGAAGAAGAAGGCGATGCAGTGGTGGCGGGAAGGGGGCGGGGCGGGGCAGAGGACATCGGGAACAGGAAATCCGTCCCGGGTAGGGGGAGAGGAGAGGGGAGGGCATTTCGCCGGGATGGAGTCGCTCTGCGCCGCCCCGCGCCGCCCCGCCCCCGTCGCGTCCTTACATATGACAACTGACATTTTCATTTTCCGGCCGCTCTGAATAGCGTTGATGAAAACTAGGTCGACAAGACAGATTGAAGAGCGCACCGCGCAACCCCGCCCCGCACACAAACAGGCACACACACAGAGGAAAGGAAAAGACAGGCCGCTGTGCATGTGTGTGTGCGCATGGGGGTACGGCTCGCCCCACTGCACCGCGCGGCGTTGTGTGTGTGTGTGTGTGTGTGTGTGTGTGTGTGTGTAACTAACTCGGCGTCGCGCGGGTTGCGGTTCGTTCATTTTTGTTGCACAAACTCATTGCCACCACCACGTCAACTTTGCTCAATGTCCATTCCAGGCAGCAGATCCCGTGTGCGCGTATCCTGGTCCCGGACACCGTAAACTGGAAGCTCAAATTTCACGGCACGGCAAGCCCGACACGCGCGCACGCACACGGGCGCCGAAAAAAAACACAGTAAAAAGCGTGGAGCGCACCCGTTTCGCGCTTATCTCCAATCGACATGATCGCATGATACACTTTCGTCAACGGCGGCCCCGGAATTCCATTTTGCTCCCCCATTTCTATGCAAATCCAGCCGAGAGCAGAGTGTAGAGTTTCGGCGCGCGTCTTGTCGTTCCGCCGCCCCGCGTGCGACTGTCACTCAATCCTCGGCCAGGCTTGATGAACGAACGACGCCGGCGCAAAAACGGCACCGCGTCGTCCGGAGTCGAACCCGGGGCCTGACCGCTTTGCTCACCCGCACGCGACAGCCTCGCCAGAAGGGGAGGGAACACTAATAGAGCGAGATGAAATAATAAACGAGACAGGTCAGCCCGCCCGGCCGTCCGGCCTGCCCGGCCCAGCTCAGCACTCTCGCTGCTGACGAAGGACGAGGAAGGCCTCCTGCTGTCGGCCTGCCTGCCTGCCTGCCTGCCAGCCCCGCCTGTCGGACGGACGGCCGCCGGTATCGGCTTAGCGAAGAATATCTTGTTATTGTCCGATTGCTATTCTGGTTGTCATACGGCGGCGGTTCACGCCCCCCTGCACACTGGCCTGTCGGGCCCCTCTGCCCCCCGGAGGGTTTCTCTTTGAGGCCTCGCCGGGCCACCCTAGTCCGACGTCCCTCGCCTCTCTTCCAGTGTCTCTCCAGAGTCTCTCCAGCTTGACGCCAGTGCCTCTCGGGCGTCCGTCTATTGCCCTCCAGAGTCTCGCCGGACCTTCTCAACATCCGAGAAATTCAATAAAGATGGCTTTACCGGCTGGCGGGGCACGGGCGCTGGGGCTGTGTGTGTGCGTGTTTTTTTTTTTGCAGTGCATCTCAGGGAGGGCGGCGTCAAGAAGAGCAGTCAAGCGTCACTTATTGATCGCAGTATCACCTCCCCGCCCCCCACCAAGACAAAATTTGTTTGTCCATTTGGGCGAAGGAGACGGGCCGGCTCCGCCTTGGGTACCTCTAGTCGCCCTCAGCACACACCCGGTGTAGATCAGGCCTGTCGTCAACACACTGCTTCCAACACTGGTCCAGACCGGTGGTGGACGGCTTCTGCCAGATGCTTTTCCCTCGGCTGCAGGGAGAGCGTTTTCGTGGCCACTGCTTTCCCTCACAATTGTTGCGGCCATGTTTGCGAGACCCATTCAATACCAGCGGCCCCGCTGGGATGACTAGAGCGATTCCACTTGGAACTTGCCTTTCCCTGTCCTTGATTGTCTTTGCCTGACTCGTCCCGACTCGGCCCGTTTTGCGTGGTGCACTCCACCGTGGCCCGGCTGGACTGGGCGCCGCCACGCTCGGCTCGGCTCGGCTCGGCTCGGCTCGGCTCGGCTCGGCTCGGCTCGGCTCGGCTCGGCTCGGCTCGGCTCGGCTCGGCTCGGCGTGACGTGTCGCGGTTCGGGCGCAGCGCGTCGTCTAGGAGCTCCTCGGCAAGCAAACACTAAATTGCTTTCCCTCCCCGGGTAAACGTGTTCGGTTCGGCGGTGGCGTCGCCCGGGGGGCGCGGCACGACACGGCACGACACGGCCAGGACACCGATCACCTCGCCAAATATTTTCGAGCCTAGTGGCGAGGGCGAGGCGCTGTGCGAGGCGAGGGGTGTGGTGTGAGAGAGAAACCAATATCAGGGCCGCCGCAACCAAAACAAATGAAAAGAGAACGGCGGAAGCGGCCGCGAAACACCCTGCAGACGCCTCCGCGCCGCGCCGCCCCGCCCGAGGGGACGCCGGGGCCGGGGCCGGGGCCGGGAAGGGGGATGCAGCCGACGACAACGTCGTCGACGTCCTCCTCGAGGCGCTGGGCCGCTGGGCCTCTGGGGCGCTAGAGCAATTTCTAGGCCCAATCTACGGCCGTCTGGGGTAGGGCTTGGGTTCGCCCCAGGCCGCCCTAGGCCCGGCGAGGGGCGCGGTAGCGGTGGGCGTGCTGGGACGGGCCGGGGCCCCACGGCCCCACGGAGCAGGCATGGAGCAGGGGTCCGGAAGACGAAGCCAACAGCGAGCCGAGGTGGGACTGGGTCCGTGACTGGGTGGCGGCGCGTTGACATCGATATGAATATAAATCTGCGCGCCCCGTCCCGTCCCGCTGTCCCGCCTCCACACGTGCGGCACACCGAGGCCCGCCAAGCTCCAGTGACTCCCTGGCCTGGATCCTGGATCCCAACCCCGTCTTCCCCGTTGGTCGTCGCGGCACCGCAAGGCAACTCCGCGGCCAACTTGGTGCTTGGTGGCGCAGTCCAAGTACTGCCGCCGCGGTTTGGTCCGTCCGGCCAACTACCCGCCACGGCGCGCCGTCCCGGCCTGGGATGCACTTCGGTACTTCGGCCTTGCGGTCTGTCGCTACTCCAGCTCGCTGGCCGCGGCCTGGGCACCGCACTGCGAGCTCACTCCGAACCGCCCTCCCCTCCATCTCTCTCGCACCCATGGCTCACATTCCCGCGGAGCGCCCGCTGAGTCCAAGAGAGACAGAGAGACGAAACGTTAGTTTGAGCCTCGCTGTCCAAGGCCCTGCCGAGCGATTCAGAAGATCGGTTTGTCGCTCTGTCTCTCTCGCACCCCTAAAGAGAGCCTCATGAGTGCGACAGAGACAGCGCGGCGGGCGCCGGCGGGCGCCGTCGGCGAACCACGCGGAACGCGGACACGGTCGCGTGCCCTCAGACCCTCGCGGCCGCCTCGTCTCCGGGTCTAGCGCCGTGCCGCCGTGCCGCGCGTTGGACATGGTAATTGGGTGGAGACTCGGAACAAGGGAATGTCGCCGGGCGGGGCGGGGCGGGGCCTCTCCGACGTCCAAGCAGGATCGACTCCCGGGGACGCGCGGCGAGGGCGGCGAGGGACGAGCCCGGAGGGGGGAGGGGAGGGGGGAAGGGCCTGGGGATTTATCGGACTTAAGAGATTTCAATCAGGCCGGCAGCGCTCCGGCGCTCCGGCCGCGTTCTCTTTCTGCTCCCTTGGCTGTTAGTGTGTTGTGTTGGCTTGCCCTGGATTGTGTGATGGCTTGTGTGTGGCTGGGGGATCGGGCGCGTGTGTGTGTGAGTGTGTGTGTGTGAGAGAGAGAGAGAGTGAGGGGGGCGGGCCGGTGCCCTGACCAAACACCCGACCGTTTCTGCGTACGTGCGCCCTTCCCCCAATACCCTTACTTGGCCCGCCCCGG